CCCCCGGGCCAACTCGACCTGCCCACCCCTCTGCCCGCACTTACCTGCCCTCCTCCTGACGTCACGCCGGCCTGTGCCCGGAAGTGGTGCTGGGCGCGCAATGGGGCGTGGCACACTCCCCGCGTGACAGGGGACGCTGGCGCGAGGCGGGGCGAGGCCGCAACGCCGCGCTGAATGGCTGAATACCGAACGCACGGCCCCGCCCACTCTGCCTGGACCAATCCGAGGCTCGCCTTTCTGACCCATGCAGAACACCGGCGAGCATGGCGCAGCTAGGGTAGTCACTCACGCTAGCCCTCTGCGTTTCAATGGCTAGTGACCCAAGAATTGTTTTACGTTTTTAAGTGAGTGGGGTAAAGTGAAAAGAATAACCTCTTACGACTTGTGAAGACAATACCAAGTTCCAGCTTTGGTGCTCATAAGTAAATTTTTATTGGGATACAGCCACACCTGCTCATTTACCGGTAGGTAGCTGCCTTTCCACTGCAAGGGCAAAATAGTTGAATGGATGCAACAGAGTCTAAAATTTTGTTATTTGGCCTTTTACAGAAGTGGGCCAACTCTTGCCTTAGAACCTTCAGACCAGGCCCTCCCTGGTGGCGCAGCGGGTTAAAGGCACAGCACTGAGAAGCTAAAGCCACTTCAGCATGAGTTCGATCCCGGCCCTGGAGGTGACCCACATGGTGCAGCGGACCTCTCCTGACACGCCCGCTGCACCCCTCAGCAGTGTACTTCATCAGTCAGCCCGTTCTGCTCTCCACTCTGTCTCTGGTGAATCCTCTCACCACCTCTGTACCCCAGTTCTGTATGCATAAGTAAATAAATCCTTAAGAACCTTCAGACCAACCTGAGTGTGCCTTCTGCATAGGGGGTGTCTTTTAAAAAAAGATTTATTTTATTTATTTATGCATACGAGAACTGGGGTGTAGGTCTGAGGTGTGGGTCGTGAAAGGATTCACCAGAGTCAGAATGGGGAGCTGGACTGGCAGATCCACTGAATTACACTGCTGAGGGTAGCATGAGTTGAGATAGGCCTAGGATTGAACTCCGTGCTGCAGTGGCTGTGGATAGCTTCACAGTGCTGAGCCTTAACCCCTTGCACCACCAGGGAGGCCCAGAATGACTTTGAATTAACTTTTATGGACTGTGTTGCCTGAATTTGTTCACTCGACATCTGTTTATTAGATGCCCAGTATATGGCAGGTCATTGGGGATTCAGAGAGCAAAGGACACATCCTTTCCCCATAGATGAGGCAGACATATCAACTTGAAATAGCAAAGGCAGTATGAGAAATGATGACACTACTATCATCACTAATACTGTATGTATGTTGTTTGAGGCCAGGCCCTGTCACACGGTGAGTGTGCCATACCCACTTGCAAGTTAGTTTTCATCTATTATGATGCTTGAGTGCTCCCTACTCAGTGTCATTCATGTATTCACTATTTGCTTTAATATGTATCATCTCAGGAAAGGCTGTTCCTAGGATACACTGTCATTCTCATTTTATAGATGAGATAGGTCCGGAGAGTTTCAGTAACTGACCGAAGTTCACACAGCTAATGTCAGGTGGACTTCCATTGGCTGATGCTAAACTTTGCAACCTTAACCTCTGAGTTATACTACGTTTGGTTGTTTATTAGATGTTCAGGATATGTCAGGCCATTGGGGATTCCAGAAGGATATTTAATGAAGGTGGGCTGTTTGGAAGTGAGCAGGAATGAGGGTCAAAGTGGTCCCTGCGAGGTCTGACTCCTGAACTAAATGAGGGGGAGCAAGACAGAGCAAGAGGGGACAGAGCAGAGGCACACTCACATCCTCAGGAATAAGATGGAGCCAGATTCAAAGCCAGTAATCTTGCTTGTTACATCTGTATTTTGCTTATGTCCTTATATTGAAGGAAGACATAGTGACTGAAAGCTGCAAGTGCCATCTTGTGAGCAATATTTTGGGGCAGGGGAGGGAAGAAGCTTCCATTTTCAAGAGATATGTAGACCCTTACTCTTACTACTCACTTACAGGGCAGATGCTGGAGCCCAGGCACGAATCAGATCTGAAGAGGCTTCAATAAGGACACCAAATGCAGGTCAATTCCTATGGGGCCAGTGGCACTTCTTAGGGAGCAGAGGGATATTAGGCAGCCTGGGTAGAGTGGCAGGATGGAACCTAGAGTCTAGCTCTGGGTTTGCACACACCACTATTAATTTGGGACTCTGGCCGAGTCACCTCACCTTTGTTTGCTCATGTGTAAAGTGGACTATCTTTTCTCTGAGCAATAAGTGCATACAAATGATTTTGTAAACAGTCTGAATAAGAAAAGAGGGGTAGGAGGGCATTCTGGGATCAAACCTGGATTTTGGGGACAAGGGAAAAATGACAGAGGGAGAGATGTCAGGAGGTTCTTTATATAAACCAGAAATCCACTTTCCTGCTTTAGGTACCCACTGATCCACTAGCTGCCTGGGAGCACCACGGAGTATGGAAATCCTTTTTCAAGTCAACCCTCACCCTACTCCCATGTCACATCTTAATCCTTTCAATCACAACCAGCTAAAACTGGTTGGACTCAATCTCATGCTCAATCTGTGCAGTCAAAACGGTTCAGGATACTTTCCTAGCCCATTACCTTTGTGTGAGAACATCCAACCTCCAGAGGGCGCAGCAGCACCTGTACGTAGCTATTCTTTCCTGTTTAACCCCTTCCCTGACTATTGCTTATTGGGTCTAGGGAGTAGATTCAACCCCCGCAGGCCATTGGGTTCGTGTCTGGGAATTTAGAATGGGATCCAGACGTGCACAGAGTTGTTGCCTGACCTGAGTACATGAAAACGTGCAGGAAAAAGCAGAGATAAGCAGCCATGTCGGGTGGGAATGGGGGTGGGGAAGAAAGGGAGAAGGAAAGTGAGTAAGATAATTAAAGAAAATAATAGAAAGAAAGTAATGGAGAGGGAACACAGAGAGAGATAATATGGAGGAGTAGAAACAGACAGAGAAAAAGAAAGATTAAAAAAAAAATCTCTGGAGACCATTTAGTCCTTAGGTCCCAAAGATAACCTTGTATCCATATAATAAACTCTCCTCTTTTGACTAAGTTAGTTTGAAGAAGTTTCTCTTGCAAACATAGAGCCTTAACTTAAGTGCTTGAGACATGGATTTGGGGATGTGAAATTTATAAACTGTAGGTTATTCACCTCATTTTCTGCTGACACCAAGACTGGAGGCCTCACATCACTTTCTAAGCACAACTGCAGAGTATGAAATAACTATAGAACTGTAAAAATGAAGCTCAAACCAGAAAATGCAAGTTAATCATCTTTAGCAAATGAGTACCAAGAGTGGTCAATCTCTCTGATTGTGGAAAACAAGGATTTGAACTTCAAGGTTTACAAAACCAGAAAACTGGATCTTTGTGAGTCCTGGGGTCTCTCAACAGGAAGTTGTACCTGAAGGTTATTTAACACATTTCCAGGGCTATCAGAGTTCAAGATTTAATGGTTGATGGGGCCCAGAAAAGGAAAGCTAGAAAAGGAAGCTTGAAAAGGAAAGCTAGAAAAGGAAGCTTGACATGTTTTGAAATCTACTGCAGGCAAAACAGAAAGCTCAATTACAGACTGATATATTTGTTTTCATAAGAGCTTGAGATGATGAGGACAATATTTGGGTTTCTCAGATATGCAATGGATTCTAGAAAATCCTCTCCCTGATGCAAATGTTACAGTGCATGGAGAGAGGGCACTATGGAACCCCCAAACCTCCCTGCTTTGAATAGGTTTTGCCATCCACCACATCAAGACAAGACATAAGAGCTTTAATGGAAAGGAAATTTAATACAGTGAGTGTGCAATACAGAAAAGACAAAGAATATAGTTTCTAAATCAAAGACCCAAAGTTCCCCATCCCCTTGTGGGTAAAAGTCCACCCAAAAGGGATTGGCCCAAAGTAAGGCCTGAAAGCCCTCCACAAGCCTAAAGCACCTTCTGGCTGGGACCCATGGAAAAAGGCCAGACATGGCCAGACAAGTCTGGGAGAAAAAGGGCAAAATCAAAATCAAGATAAACACTGCCATAGTGATCCTCCTCACAGGTCTCTCACCCACATCTGTTTCAACCAGCCCCGGACCAAGAAGCAAGCACAGTTTCTTCACATGTTTCTCTGCTCCATGTGCCTCCCTCAGGACATCTTCTGGCTCTCCATCCTGCTTCCTTCCACCTCAGTCTCCTCTCTAGATTCTTCTCTTCTCTCCTCAGCTCTACCCTCCTTTTGGGTGGGGAAGGGAACCTGGAAACTCGCCTTTTCCTGTGGACCACCCTGTGACACAAACCCAAAGGTATAGAGAGCAGACCAGGGCCAGAGCGTCAGGGCGATTCTCCAGACCCTTGGGCTAATCCTTCAGCTGCCAGACACTGAGCACAGGGACACCCTGGAAGCCTTGCTGTCTTTGCTGTAGCTTGCAGCTCCAAAGGAGGGAGGAAGAGAGGGCCTGCAGAACCAGAGAGTTATGTGCCACACTTTCCCTTGCTGTCTGCTACACCTGGCTTATTCTTCAAATAAAGTCTCTTGGTGAAACAAAATTTTGAAAAGGAACCTCTTCAGAAATACATATTTGGGTTTCTCAGATATGCAATGGATTCTAGAAAATCCTCTCCCTGATGCAAATGTTACAGTGTACGGAGAGAAGGCACATGTTTCCGGTGTGATAAGAGGAGGGAGGCAATGCAAAGGACTTTGAGTTCATGCAGGATAGCAAGAGCTCTTACTTAGTCTGTGTGTCTAAGGTGGCAGACCACAGGACCGGATTAATTGAGATGGCAGCCTTCTTTCCCCGTGGTGGAAGGGCACCTTGAAGCTATGAGACCCCATCAAGCTTTGTGGCTCCCATAACAGGAAGAGAGAACAGAGGAAACCCTTAGTGGGAAAAGTACAACACCATCTGCAGGCAACCTCTAAACAACAACAACAATATGCTACATCCAGGCACTGCTTTTATTTTATGGTGTTCAAAGGGGTTTTAAAGGAACCTGTGCCTTTATGGGTTTAGGGAAATTACTCTTCAGAGCAGTTGGTTTCTGTTCTTGGCTCTGCTGATTGCTA